TCGGCGAGAGTCTACCTCCGGGGAAAACAGTACGATCCTTCATCGCTTCAAAATACAGCGGAACCTCGGTTAACGAGTTTAATCCGTTCCAGCACCGAACTCGTCATGTGAAACACTCGTCTTGCTAAAAATAGGCAATCAAACTGCATTAACTCACTGATTGGCTGCAGGCGACCGATGACTCACGGCCTGGGAGTCAGATGCAACGGCCGGCACAGACACACAAACGCTCTGACAAGTCATCAACTGATTGCGAGCTCGTCAATCGAGACAACTTTCTACGAGTGGCTCTCTTACTTACTAAAATGCTCGTAGATAGGACTGCCGAGCACCCGAGACTCAATTATATACCATTTAATGAATAATTCGTTTGACTCAGATGTGGAAGGCTCGGTGGCCTCGGTGTGATTCAAATCCACACCAGCAAGGCGCACATTCAACGCTCTAGCCAACTGAGCTCCGAGGCCTTACCAGTAGACCTGATTGTAATCCCATTTGGGTCAAGTTACCCGCCAGCCTACTGCAAAACATGGCTCCCGGTGGGGCCTCTTAGCTCAAATATTTAGAGCGTTCGCTGTAATGAAACCTTCTCCTTGCCATCATGGGTTCGAATTCAACCGAGGCTGCAGAAATTTCTACACTTGTGTCAAATGATTGATACCATTTCTGCAAAATTCTAAACGTACTTTTCATGAAATAAAAATACTCGAGTATGAATTCGTAGCTGCTATAGGACTGCCTCTGGACTAAAGCTTCAAAGCAGGACACAGCCGTTGTACTCGGCTCTAAAATTAGGCAGAGGAAAAAGCGTCCCCTCCGTGCCCCGTAGACTAGTCACAACTGCGAGGGCGTGAGTTCGTAATTCCACTGGTGTTGTCCGAATCACTGATTAACTGAACTAAGATTTAAATGTGGTGCTCCGGCGTTCTGGGAATAGGACTGGCTAGTCATGAATGAAAATATAAATGCTGGTCTCCTTTCAACCACAAGTATCAGTGTAAAAAATGATCCCCATCTAGAAGAACTAACTAGAACTACTGAGCGCAGCAACATGGATAGTATGTTAAACTGGGTCGTGTCGCGGTCCGCAAGTACAAATCCGTAAGTCGGATATAACCAGCCTCTAGGGTTAACATTTTATCTCCTTAAAAAGCCGATTTCCCTACACTTAATATAATGTTGGCGTAAATAAGAAATAGACAAGGCCGATAGTGCCTAGATGCCAACCCAATCCTAGGCGTTGTGTTCATGAGGGTTAGCATTAGTTGCCGGATTAGTAAGCTCACACAAGCATTCGTTGCCAGAATTATAATTTGCAACACTACGGCACTGGCGTTTGGTGAGACAGCGAAGTCTTGCGCATATAATCTCAGGAGTTGTGTAAAGTCAGCAGTGTTTCAGGCGATAACTTCAGTTCCAGTCGTCGGACATGCGACCTATCCTGCTGTCTCTCAGTAACTTGTGCCTCTAAGCTACGGTCCTGTGGCACAGGCGTGAGACTAAGAAGAGTGCTTGTACTGGTCCTTTCTGTCCAACGCCCACCTAACTCTTGACGTCACAGACAAGGACACTCAGAACAGGACCTTGCGCGAATGTACTTTACGGCCTGCCTCCAACCGGACGCAAACTGGCGCACGAAACACTCACCATCCACGCTAGTGTCTACGTTCGTGCGGTCCAACCAATCACCATCAAGGCCGCAAGACTGAGCGAGGATTCGGCAGCCGCCCCGATGACTGACGCTAGACTCATTTGGCATTCTGCCCCCTCGAGGGACGGACGCACCGCCGCTGCTCTCTCACACGGCTCTCACTGTCGAAGGCACGCCAGACCGAGTCAACCTTCCTATGAACTATTCTTCCACTCATTCTGTAAACAATATATTGTTCCTACTCCCTGGCTTCTTAAGACTTCTCTTATCTCCTAAGGAACCGGGCCTGGAAGATCGCAGTCGTTAG